ATATGGAAAAGAATACAGTAATAAATACAAGAATAAACTATTTCGTGTATTCACAACTGTAAACCTCCTTTCTCCAGATAGTACCTGATTTTGATATATGAGATATTTGGTTACTTTGCAACCTATAAATTAGAGCAGAGAATCCGTCTAATTGTTCAGTTTAGTCTGGTCGTTATCGTTAGATGATCAGAGAGAAGTCCCAATGTGGGTTCTAATTATTTACTTTTCTGGCTGCCAAGATATCTAGAGCCAGAAAGTCCTGTCTGCACAGCCCTGTTGCCTCATTAGGCACACCAGTGAAAGAGGACTGAGACCATGTGTGACCCTTTTCCCTCTAGCCACCCCATCACTAACTCTCTTTTGAACCCTAAACGTTTGTTTCCACAGGATTTTGTTTTAGCCCTTTCTCCACTCTACTTTTCCCAGTGGCCTCATCCACTTTCATCACTTGGATTACCTCAGTTGTATGTGAAGTTCTCTTAAATCTATATTTCTAGCCTGGGCTTATCTTCTGACCACTAAAATGATGCACATATACACTACCTGAAAGGAGAGGGTCCTCTGAAATCTTTTGTAAGTAGAAATGGATGGTGTAAAGTGAAGAAGCAATTCCTGTTCATTTATATGGAAAAATTTGAGTGTTCCCAAGCCCCAGAAAATAACCTACCAAATCATACAAGAAACCTAAAATAATACTTGGATAGTAAAGACAGTGCCACTCTTACTACTCTGGGTGCACGCTGCCTCTATATTGAATCGCTGAAAAACAGTGAACACTTTTTGCTTTCTGCCCCCCTTTTTTTTTTGTAAAATGGAAAATTTTCGGATTTTTGGTTACTGAAAGCAGGTACTAATGTAGGTTTTTCACAAAAGCGAGTGATGTAACATGGATTTTCAAAATGTGGGAGATACCTCTATCTTTTTTATTTGCCAGACATCTCTGACCAGGATGTCTTTTGGTCAAACAAAATGTAATATACAGTTTAAAACTGATTACAGTATCTTTTAATTTCAAACATGAATTGTACTTGTTAATAAAAGTTAATTTTATAGTATACTAGAGGCCCAGTGCATGAAATTCATGCATGGGTAGGCTCCCTAGGCCTGGCTGGCAATCTGGGCTGATCTGTGGGGTGACCGGCGGCGTGGTTGGGGGGCACCCACTGGCACCTGCCTTGGTTGACCTGGGGCCTGCGGGCTGGGGCAGCTCCTGCATTGAGCATCTGCCCCCTGGTGGTCAGTGCACTTCATAGCGACTGGTCATTCCACCAGTTGTTCTGCTGTTTGGTCAATTTGCCCCTTCTGTGGCAATACAATTGCTTTTAATGAAGCCACAATAAATGAACATCCCCTTCCCCTGCACTATCCTTATATTAAAATATTTGATAAAACTGCATATAACTTACCATGAAAATTTTAAAGCATCAATGTCCTAATTTTAACGAGAATAAAAAGAAAATTTATGATAAAATATGTATTTCCAGGACTTGTGCCACAGAATCACATGAATCCAATAACCTCAAATGTAGACTGATACGTTTTATTGGTGACTCAGATACCATCAACAGCTTTGCTGGGATAACAAGAATTAATTTTTAAGATAAAAAAGGATAAAGGCTAATCTCCCTTTGTTTTTATATAAAGCACTCTGGTAAATTCACTGTATATTAAATGCAAAAAATAGTTTGTGTTTGTATGTAAAATGAAATTGGGTTCGTCTTGTGTATTAAGTTTTGCACTTACAATAATGTCCAATGGGACAAATCTTCACTTGTAAGACTTACAGCACTCTATGCTCAGGTCTAGTAAATGTTAGCAAGGCACCTCACTCCAGACCCATTACATAGACAACCAGGAACTTCTCTGAGGCGCTGGTACCATCCCACATTGCATTATGAAGACACGATTAAATAAGCACTATATTCCAGAAAAGGGGGTGGGGGAGTTATTCTTGGTTTCTTTAGACCCTTCGGGCATCTTGGTAAAACAGGACATTTCCTTTCTGAGGAACAGAGCTTTGTTGTAGCCAAGAACAAGAGATACTTCTTACTTTGAGATTCAAAATGACTTAAATTGCTTCATCTGTATTCTTGAAATTTTTTCTAGTAGAGGAGAAAAAGTGGTACACACATAAGATTCAAAATATATTGTGCCTTTTTTCTGGGTGACCTCAGAGTTTTAAAAACACTGTTGCTTATATACTATTAAGGTATTTGATAAGCCTGTAACTTTTCACTGCTGTGTGGTGATAACCTTTTTCCTTTCCTTTAAGATGCTCTCCAAATCCTTGGTAATGGAGTATTTGGCTCATCCTGGTGCACTCAGCGTGGCTGCTGGAGTAGCTTGTGGCATGTGCTTGGGCTGGGGCCTCCGTGTACGCTTTGGGACGATCCCCAAAAGCTCAGTGAACGAGACACACACAGAACCCAGAACTGAAGCGAGCATCTTAGGAGAGAGTGGGGAGTACAAAATGATTCTTGTGGTTCGAAATGACTTAAAGATGGGAAAAGGGAAGGTGGCTGCCCAGTGTTCTCATGCTGCTGTTTCTGCCTACAAGCAGATTCAAAGGAAAAACCCCGAACTGCTCAAACAGTGGGAATACTGTGGCCAGCCCAAAGTGGTGGTCAAAGCCCCTGATGAAGAAACTCTGATTGGATTACTGACCCACGCAAAGACGCTGGGACTGACTGTAAGTTTAATCCAAGATGCTGGACGTACTCAGATTGCACCAGGTTCTCAGACTGTCCTGGGAATTGGGCCAGGACCAGCAGACCTAATTGACAAAGTCACTGGTCACCTAAAACTTTACTAGACAGAATTTTGTATCATGATTGTCTCACCACAAATGTTTGAAACTGTCAAATTCTAACAATAAAAGCTGAGTTTCTTCCCCCAATTTAAGTGTTCTTGAGGTGAAAATCTGTTGCCATGTTCTTCTGTCATGTACTTGGCACAGTTACACAGTTATCTTGGGCTAAAAAGAAAAAAAAAGTTGGTTAAATTGTCCTAGTGGTTTAAGTCCTGAAACAAAAAATACTTAAGAGAAACAGTTCACAACAAAATTGGATTACAAGGGGGGAAACAGCATTTCCTTTGCATGGTTAGGTCCCTCTGCATGTTAATAGCTCTTTTTCCCCAAGACTATGTTGCTGTCACCATTGGAGAGGATCAGGGGTTCAAAGGTAGTCCCATTGGATGCAGGTTCTTTCCTACCATAACTTTCTGGATGACTGAGCACCTACTTTATTAATAGATGTATAGCCACCCACAAAAGGCTTTAGACTCTAACCTGCTAGATTTTTAAAATTTATGTCTCAAAGTTGAGGTTTAATAGCATTGATATAACCCACCTGTGCAGTTTCATGCTCATTTCTCAGACCCCCTGTGGCCAAAGTTTCTCAGTAGTGGTTGGTTCTACATCATAGCCTATAAAACTGCTTCACTTCCCCCCTTTCCTGACAGTGAAAGCCCTGAAACTGGTGAAGTGCCTTGTGTGGACCTTAAATGTGGCAATGGGCACATGTAGGAATTTATGGTCACTGTGAAGTGAAAGTAGTGCGTCATCACATCTCAGTTTACCCAGAACTTAAGGAATTAGATAATTCAATTATTTATGGGCATCTTTATTTCCCTTTTGATCTTTATACAATTAACATGACATAATTCCAGTATTACTATGCCAGCTTCCCAGCTCCCAAAACTATACAGCTTCTACCCTTTTTGCAATGTATTCTTGCAAAAAGCCCTTTTTCTGAGAGCCTTTTAGGGGGATCCTGGCAGTATTTCTAAATTTAGTATATCCCTAAGAATTATGATGCCAGGGAGAATTTTGATAACAGGCGCATGCTAAGTGGCTTCAACTCTCCGTGTTAACTTCAACAATCAGCATTAATTAGCAGTTAACTTCAACGGAAGCAGCATGATAGCACAACTAAGGAATAAGTTTAAAGGAGTTGGCAGGCAGCCTTAAAAGTTATCATATTTGGTCAGTTTTATACCACTTACACTGGCATATTACAGCACAGGAGAAATTGCAACTAAATGATGCCACAGTAGCAACTGTTTCTAAAGAGAATGTTTATACTACTAGATTCAAAAGTGATGCAACGAAGTGTAATTGAATTGAACTCAATCCTAAATGCATGGTTCTGGCTCAGGTAATTTCTGAGGCTTGCCTCAGACTGTTGGTTCCACGTTCAGAGAACTGCATTCCCCACAGAATGGCCTGCTGTGGCTGATTCAAGTAATTGTAATAAGTCATGGCGTATCTACTAGGATGAATTGTATGCAAATTCTGGTGATACATTTTGTTCTCTAGTTCACCTGTACTTAGTATTTATTTAATAGGATTCATAATCTTCCAGGTTTCAAAGTATGGGTAGAGCCCATGGGTTCTCTAACACACTTTCAGGGGGTTAAAACTATTTTTATAATATTAACACATTTCCTTTTACACCATGGGTAAAACTGCTGGCACCTTTCACAAATGAAGGCAGTGGCACCTACCTGTACAAGTAGTTTTCACTGCCCTCCCCACAATAAAAAAAAAAAAATTTCACCCTGGATGAAGCACTAACAATATTACTAAATTTGACCCTTAACTATTTGCCTTAATATTCTGTGTAGCATTAAACACTTATGGTGCACACTGAAATATGACAAAAATACTCGTGAGGCTGAGTGGTGAGCGGAACTAGCTGCTTTTATCATGGAAAAGTTTTACTGGCAAGAACCACCGACAAACTGGTTATCCAGATCTGAATGTTTGGTAGCAGTCTCCTCATAAATAACCATTGACAGGATGTAGGAAAACTTACATCTGCCTCTCATCCAAGCTTCCCCAAACTTAAGACTTTCCTGGTAAGATCAGTATTTCTCACAAATATCTTATAATATATAATGTGTCAACATTTTGAAGAACTATGTAATGTAGTAAATGTCTTCTACATAACCAATGCATGAGGGTACAAATCATGCATGGGTAAAAGATCCATTCAAAATAAAGATAGACCAATGGATTTTAATACAACAGTATGAAAAGTTCACTTTTATAATTTCAGATTCCACATTTCAACTAACCCCAAGTATCTAAAAAGGCTATTAAAATACTTTCCTAGTTACAAATCAGTGAAACCATACTTTCTTCATGTACTTCAACAAAAACATAACAGATTGAATATAGAAGCAGATGAGAATCCAGCAGTCTTCTGTTAAGACAAACTCTGAAGAAAGTTATTAAAAAATAGTACAATGCCAGCCACTCTTATCACTTGTCCTTTGTTTTGGGACATACAGTTAATTTATAATTCTTTATGTTAACATGGAATGAGTTTATTACTATTACATTTAAATGGATTTAATAATTTTTAAAATTTGTTTTAACTACTAATACAGTAAATATCAATAAATGCAACCCCATATAAACTGAAACTCTTTGGGATCTTCAATGATTTAAGAGTATGAAAGGATCCTAAAGAAAAAGTTTGAGAACCACTAGAGTGAGAATGTCTGCATGACTAAATCAATTTACAGCAAACTTAAGCGGCCCTACTCGGAGATCAGCCGTTAGTCTTCTGCTGTTATACTACCTATGTTGAAATAGTTGTCAACAAACATCACAGGTTTTGTACAAAGGCTGTATTTGGATATTAGGGAAGATCACTGAAAGCATGCTTACCTTATGAAAAGTTTCCCAGTAATGTCTCCCCTTCCTCTATCCTGTTTCAGTTACATCAAAAGTGCTAAGGACTCGTAGTACCCTTGGTTAATTGTTTTTAATCCCTTCTCCAAGACCATCATTCAGAGTCATGTTAGGAAATCCTTTAAAATACAGTTTATTACCAATTCATTCTACTACTTATTGTACAACACTTACTATTGTCTAGTCTTGAGCTATGCATTTTGTGATTTAAACACAGTCTTGCAAAGAATTCCAAAAATTACTCAGGGAACAAACTCAGAAGTTCATCTTGTTCAAGATTTGAACACAAGTCAAAGCAGTTCCTCTTTCTACTATAGCCCATTATAGAAGGCTTAAGTGGCAACTCAGTATTACAGCACAAGATTTTTTTGTTGTTCTTAAAAAAAAAGTTTTAAAGTATGCTGTAAGAAAACCTTAACTGAAGTATTTTATTTTGATTCTATTAGAGAAGGGAGGGAAGAGACTGAAGATCTAGGAGACTGAAGGTCTAGAACACATGTTGAGTCTGAAAAGAATAGGCTCACTAGGACCATTACTATTCTCCCTCTTAATTTTCATGATGATGAAAACAAGGAGCAGAGATCCAGCAGAAACAAAAGTGCAGCCAGATCCTGAATAGCAAGATGTCTTCACTAGGACAAACAAAAAAAAGGGTGATTTTCCAGCTAATACTGTAATTTCCTATAGGAAAATAGGGTGGGAATTAAAGATAGGGAACGAAAAGAGGTTCTAAGTTAAAAAAAAACAAACCCTTCTGTGGCAATACAAGGCTAAGTAGGGGGCTCTCTAACTCTCCTGATAATTAATAGTGAAATGAACTTAAAGTAACATTCTTAACCATCAGCCAAGAGTTGGATTCAAACACTGATTTAAAAAAAAAATCACCTTAAACTACCCATAATTTGGGGACCCTTACAATTTCATGGTGAGGAATAGCATGAACTACATGTTTCTATATGTTTATATCAAGTTAATATAATTTCATATCATGACCTTGTTCATTGAAGTAAAATGCTTAGATAAAACTTAAAAGTGCCACTTGGTTAATATGATGGAGATAGCTGAAATGTAGCCCACTATAGTGTGCCTTATGTTATAAATGTGATATGTGTTTTCACATGTCCTGATCCTCATTCCATTTCTGCTCTCATACCTCCCTACCCTTGGAATCCAATATGGAACTACCAAAACCATGGTTTCCTTTGGTTTAAGTTTGAGAGGTATTTAATTAAAACTGCCATTCTACATGTTATTTCCACAGTCCAGTAATTTATTTTAAATTTGAGTATTTTCAAATTCCACAAACAAAACTGAAGAACAGCAATATTTTGTTTGAATTCTCTCTTCTGTACACTCAGTGATCTAAAACACCACAATATCCAACATACACAAACCTCAGGGAAGGGTTAGTAAATACACACAGATTGGAATCATGGTGCTCTTTGTTCTTGAATGGAATGGTCCCACAGAAAAAGCACAGGATACAGCACAACATAAGGGCACCTGTTACATATGGAGTGAGCAAAAACACACTAGCATTTTCTATATGCGTAATCAGGAAACCTGCATAGGTTAGAGGGCCTCTTATGCTCATTGAAAAGTCAGGCAAGTTGTCTGTAATGCATTTTCCCAATACTTTGGAGAGCGCACTGTAGTCCAGTGTAGGATGTGCTGATAATGATTAGTGTTGTCTTTGTTGCATTGACAGTCTTGCATGGTCAGATACCAATATTTTTGCTTTAGCTTTTCTTTGAATAAAAGAGATTTAAATGCATTTAGACAATACATATTGTAAGCTGTTTACATACACTAAATTTAAGAGCTTCAATATTAGAGTTTTTCTTTAAACACTACAGAGTGCAAATCAGGTTCTTCACAACAGATTGAATATTAGGCAGTTCTTCAAAGAACAAAAGGGAAGAAAAAAAGCCCAGATGAATAAAACATTGAAACTATTCCCCTTTGAAAATAAATTCTAAAATGATGCGGAATGTGAAATAAGCTTTTAACATAGGTGATCCAAGTTTATAGTTAGAAACAAAACGCAGTCCTTCATGAAATAAAGGTTACAAGAACATGTGCCTGTTTTCCTCTGTTATAAACTGAGAAGTGGGTAGAGACGATGTTTCAGTACGAAAATAGGCGACTACAGGATCAGCTTTCCGTTTCACATGCTGTACCCAAAGCCAGGCTGTGGCTGCCCATAGGGTGGTGCAGTATAACCATAGCCAAAAGGTGCCTGGGGAGGGACTGCAACACTGGGTCCTGCTGTCAGCATCAACTGGGGCTGACCTAAAGATGGAAAACAAAAAGGAGCAGGGGCGGGGCAAGGAGGCAGTAAAAATTGTTAGTATTATAGGACTATCACACTCCAATCTCCCCTCTAGTAGCATAATCACAACTTTGAGTTTTGGGCAGCACTTCTGACTGCTACAATTTTGGCATGACAGTCACCCTAAGGAGGGTCCTGCCGATAAAGCCAACAAACAGTGCAGAGCTAAGGGTCAGAACTGTGACAGTAGTTATGTTACCTCATATCACCTAAAGCAATATGCACATGCATGCTTGACAGCAGGCAAGACATCTACTAATAAGCCTTTTTATAACATGGTGTTTGCACATTATATTTGGTGACAATATAATTAGCACAGGAAAACAATTAACAGACATGGTTTTAACATAACTGAAATGTTAAAGTTATATTTAAATTTCTGATTTAAGCACATCTACATGATAATGAAACCTAATGCATTTGAGCAAAGAATCTAGTACTAATTTAGAGAAAGCAATTAAAAATTGCAAGACATATCAAATATATATTAGGTATGAAATACATTAGAGCATACAACCTCTTTCATATATTCTGTTGCCCCTCTTAGGAAGTTTAAATAGTTGTTGACCACTTACAGAAAACAACCTATAGAGAAGCCGGCTTATTTAGAGGGAAAAGACACGTAACACCTCTTCCCAACTGCCGCAAAAGGACTCAATCTCCCACTGGAATGTAATCCTAGAGCAAGATTTCTCCCAGCACAAGCGACCTCGTGTCGCCCCTTTTTGTGAATAACCAACAAAATTGTTTTAGTGAGCAAATTCTTTTTGGAAACCAGCAGTTTATAAAAATCACTTCTAACCTTGATATTGACATTTGTCTTGAAATTTCAACCCCACTGTCAACTGCCTATATGGTCTCTGCATTTAAACACCCTAAAGGCAAATCAAATTTAGTAGGTGCCCCCAAATTATTACACTCATTCTGTTTTGGTTCCTACTGTGTTTCCTATCTCAAATATGTGAAACATCTCGCTCCCATCTCTAACAATCTATTTAAAGTTTATCTTTTCCAACTTTGTCAAAATTACCCTGATTCTCTAAATCCCCAAAGTCCTTTATATTTATAATATAAAGAAGGTAATGTCATAATAGATTTGAATATTATCATTTCCTTTAGCAGGATGAGATACAATGGTTAAAATTTTTTGTCTAAAGAACACTGTAACCTATACCCTTCAAATTCATTGTTCAAATGAATCTGTTCACCAAGAGTGAAATGGAAAAGGTAGTTCAGATGTAAATGTGTAAGAAGAAACTAAATTGCCTTAATATTAACTGAGAGTTTGAAGATCCTATCTCTCCAGAAAGTTCTCAAATGGAAACCCTATTCAGGTTCTCTGTCCAGTTAAAATTTAAATAGAGGATGTATTCTTTACGTAAAGCAGGGGCGGGGAATGTCTGGCTCCCGGGACATATAGGCCCTTGAAATAATTTAGTCTGGCCCTACCAAGGCAATTATAGGCAAGACTAGAAATTCAATAAGTCTAGGAGCTTTGTTCATAACAACATAAATTTATATTAGGTGAATTATATTAAACAAATGATGTTATAAATACCCAAATGGCCCCCTGGCAGAAAAATGGTTCCCCATCCCTGATGTAAAAAGCATTCTAGCCCTGACTTGTTTGGCTCAGTGGATAGAGCATCGGCCTGCGGACTGAAGGGTCCCAGGTTCGATTCCGGTCAAGGGCATGTACCTGGATTGTGGGTGCATCCCCGGTGGGGTGTGTGCAGGAGGCAGCTGATCGATGTTTCTCTCTCATCGATATTTCTAACTCTCTATCCCTCTCCCTTCCTCTTTGTGAAAAACCAATAAAATATATTTTAAAAAAAGCATTCTAAAGACAGCCTTGGCACTTCTGAAAATTGAATTCACCAATAATAATTCTTCAGTAATTTATGAATAAGCAATCAACCAGTGACCAGGCAATAGAAAAACTGAGGTTACGATCTTAAGATTTTCGAGATTGTCTTTGCATTTAAGATTACCTGAGGGGATAAAATTAATGCCTGTTTTGAGACTGTTTTGGGGAGTGGGGTGGAATAACAGTAGAGAGAATTATTTCTTTACTCAGTGAGCCTTTTGCATTTTGGAAGCTTATTATATTTCTATTTTGAGGTAGAATCCCTAAAGAATAAAACATTTATCTACTATATTTCTGTTAAGTTAAAAAGAGATAGAGATTACCATAAACAATAGGTTGCGTCTCTGTAGCTTGTTCTTCTTCTTTTCTCAGTGATTCTGAAGCATCTAATTTATCCACCTGGAGAAAAACAGGTAATGTTAATTAGCACCTCAAAAGTATTATAAACCTAGGTTTATGGCAGAAAGTGGAAAAGCCTTAGTTTGTTAAATTTTGTCAAAATAAAAAGACTAGAAAGAACATTCTCAGGCCCCCTCAAATTCAGTGGCAATGTTCACACTTCAGTCAAGGTGATTTTCAGCACTGTCATTATAAACCCTCCAGAAGGAGGGATTTATAAATGCCATTAAAGCGCACGCCAGGCTAAAACTGGGCATGCTAGCAGCCAGCCTGAGGGAGGGAGATAATGAGAAGGAACCACTTTTACAAATGAAGATTAAAGCCTACCAAAGATAATAATGAACTCATGACTTGGCAAGACTTCTTCCCCAAAGGAAATGGTATTCAAAAAAAGTGAAATGAGTCTAATGACTGGACAAATACTTATGCAGAATAAGCTACCTTTTGCCCAGTGTGCGGTTTCTGCTGATACTGATTATAGGTACAAACTGAAGTTTAAGACTCAAGTGGCTCCATATTTGATTATTTTAATATAAAGACAGGCTGCATGTTTTTATGCTCTATTTTCTAAGAAGTAGCCTTTTAAGAATTTTTTTCTTTTTTTTTGCTTTTAATGAAGCCACAATAAATGGCCATTATATGCTAGCTACTCTAAATAAATGTGAATACTATCTGACAGAAATAAGACTGTAGAGGAGTCCATATGTGTTAATGAAAGGAGGGAGAACACATAGGTTCTTCCACTAACTAGTTGTGTGACCTTGGCAAACCACTGCACTTAGCCTCAAAACATGTCCTTGTCTATAAGAGACAGCTGAGCGAGGTGATCTATAAAGTGCCTCTAGGACTAACTCTGTGAAGAATTAGGAAGAAGTCATCAGGACACTAGGACTAGAAATCTCCACCGCACAACTTTCACTTGCCTTTTGAAATATACACTATATTTGTCTTTTAAACTATATTTAAAAGTCGGTATCTCAACCAAAGCATAACTACATTATATTTAAAGTAAAACTACACTTCAAATCTCAAAGTTATTACTACTAGTGGTTTTCAAAGTCATAAATGTGCAGTGAGATGGGGGAAAAGTGCAGGAAGAAACTTTTTATTAAATGTTCCTCAAAAAGGCAAATAGTGAAAAAAATCACTCACAAAAAAGACATGCAAACATCAGTGAAAAAGCTAAAAAGACTGCTAAAATGGTTAGAGCAGCCCTGATTTCTTTTTGAAATTATTTAAAATGGTGTCTTGGAGTCTACAGATAGGCCACTAAGATTAGGCCAATACTTCATATGTGTACTAACTTTTTAATATTAAGTATCATAAATGTGGGTCTAGTCCATCCTACTATGTCAAGGAACAAAATATTAGAAAAGTAAGCTGAGGCAGACTCTAGACACCTTTAGATAAACTGTGGTTTCCCCATCCTAGGAAGTTGGGTTAATTTGCTTTTGCATACATTTTCCTGTTTTATACCTTAAGTGTTCATCTGTTATAAATTACCAAATGTCAAATTAAAGACCACTATCGAGTATAAATACCATGAAAAATACCCACAGTTTGGTATTCAAACTTACAACAAAAATTATTACAGCTGTATACTTTAAAGTATGGTATGTGCCACCAAGGGTCAGATGGGGTTCTGCTAACCTAAACAGTATCCAAGCTAAAGAGGTCGTGCAAAAAAATACATGGATGAGTGTACATTAATAACTTCTAAGAAGAAAAAAATTAAACAACAAAAAACCCCACCACTGCATAATACATTTCCAGACTTTCAAGGAAAAGAATCTAAAGTGAACACATGTTTAAAAGTTAATGTCTGAGTCAGATGTTGGAGACAGAGACCTATTACAGAAGTACATGTAAGACTTAGAAGAACTAGCAATATCACAATGCCCAGGCACAGACATAGGCAGGCAGGGCATGGGGGGGAAAAAGGACACAAAAAAATAAGAACTCTGAAGGAACAGCACCAAGCTAAGCAAAAAATTTTTGATTTTTCTATACAATAGGACAGCCTCTGGCACAGCAACATCCAATTTTTTATTCCATAGACCCAATTTAGATTGCTCAAAAAAGAAAAAGCAGAGAAGGCTGTTATGAACACAAGCTTTTGTTAAGAGCTGTAACAAAAGTTTCTGATCCTTGGATTTAAAAAGAAAAATTTCAGGTATGCATGTCACTGAGTTCCACCTGTACTATTGAAAATTCACTGTAATGTAAAAGGCTTTTCCACAGAGACTGCAATATGCTGCAGAGAAAAGTTAACATGCAGTCAGTTATTTTGGTGTATGTGTGCATGAAAAAAAGGCAAAAGTACTGAAGCAAGAAGTGAGATCTGAAGATGACTGTTGCTATACAGGCTCTCAAGAAACACACACAGCCCACAGCAATGCTTTAAGAGTTTCAAAAGTAGTATGATGTAATTGCAATGACTGTTGTACATGCTTGATTTAAAACAATGCATAACACTGCAGTTCAATTACCTGTTTTTCACACACACGCTTACTAACTGCCTTGCTTACTAGCTGCTGAAGGGCCTCACACAATGCATTTTACTCAGGTTTGCCCTAAGTTCCAATGGTGACTCCAGTTTGGTTCAACATAATTCCAACGCATTGTCCCCCAACCAAATTCATTCAAATTTGTTTCAACTCTATCTTCCCACCCTTTTCTTACCACAATTTGATATCAGACATAAGTTTGTAAATTGGTTTCATTAATATTGGGATAGTGACAAGCCAATTAAGGAAGCAGCAACCAAAAGGTGCCTAAATTTACCATGGATAAACCAACAGATGAATAAGAGAGCAAACTTGAGGTGGCTTCAGAGGCGTGCCTTATTACAAAACATAGAAGTTAATATTGCTTTGTTATATATAGAAATAATCCATGTTGCTAGCAGCAATTAGAGGAAGCTACTCTCATAATTAAAAAGTTTTGAGTCCTCTTGAAAATGGACTAGCACCATAAGAACTGGACACCTGGAGAAACATGAGGAAAGTCTCTTCGGAAGCAGCTAGTATCTCTTGTATCTACTTTCAGCAAAAAATTAGTAAGAATCAAGAGATCAGAAACTGGATCACAGTCCTTCAATACCAAAAAAAATCCCAAAAAGCCTTTTAGGGCATGTATATACAGATATAAATTCAGCGACTGTCAGGCAAGCTCACAAAATAAAACCAGAGGCTGTTTAAATTTATTTAGAGTATTAAGAGAATCCTATTATGGTCCAGATACCCTGACAGGGAAGAGAAATTTCCTGAAACTTTGTAATTAATATGGAAACTCACCATGCTCATTTTTTAATAATTATTTAAGAGAGACTGTGAACCAACTACTGATTAGCCTCCTGCCCTTCCTAAAGCCTATTAGCCGATTAGTACCAAACATCTACTAACGTCCTACAACTCTATTATAGTTATGTTTCAAGGGACTTGCAGAGGCTTTAGTGAAAATTTATTGGGGGGGAAAAAGCAGCAGCAGCAGTGTAGAAAAGGAAGGAAAAAATCATGCAAATTCCTTAGACTTAGTCCTCCAGACTTAAAGATGGAAAAGAATCAACTTTCACCTTTTCCTTTATTGCATCAACCTGCAAAGGAATTCAGAAGGTGCAGCTTAGAAAAAAATCAAATTCCATATTGAGCATAAAAAGGTAGAATCAGCAACAAAGGTTTAGGGGAGAAACATCTAACCACTAAAAAAGGTATGAGAATAGTGAAAATAAAGGGCATACTGTAAGCAAAATTTAGAATATATATATATATTTAACTTCAGAGCTTACTGCAGAAGAATTTATGCTGGAGTCAGTGTGAAAGAAAGCAGCTTAATCGCTAGTAAAATTTACAGCACTTCGGTTAACAGCAGCTTAGAGCCAGGTCTCACAAGTTGGCATTATGCATAAGAAAAGAATTCGCATCTATGGCTAAGATACCCTGGACTTATACACAGAAAGTGTTAATTCTTAAAATATTATTACTGAACATAATGGTATCTACTTAGATGGTAGCCTAAGGAAATACTCAGTATACTGGGGGCTGTTAGTAGTGCTATTTCCCCCCTTTAAACAGGCATGCTGAAGAGATCAGATGTGAAATAGGTTTTAATAAGCATGTTTTCTCTAATGAAATGGATCCTTTAAGATCATTTTTAAATGTTTGACAGCAAAAAAGCTAGTAACTGTTGAAGATAGGGTGAATAAAAATATCTAACATCAAAACGGGACACTAAGACGAATAAGTGACTTTTATAAGATTATATCCCCAGCTTGTTTAATGCACTTTTAGGAAATGTGTCATTACTTGTTAACCTCCTATGATATTTTAAAATTAGGGGTTAAACTATCAAAATATTGGAAGATTAACAGGATGTTAAGAATACAGGTGTAGCTTCCCCAGGGAAACACGAATACACATTAAAGTCAAGAACCAACTGAATAAAGGGAACCTATACTACTATTTCTAGAATCTGAATAGTAAGAACTAATCTAAGATATTTTGAAAAAAATTTTTTTAATAAAATGTTTTTAAAAAACTAACATACAATGTAGAAGTAATACTATTTATCCTCAGAAATACATTGAGGATAAACCTTCTGGCAAGTTATGATTTGAGTTTCCTTTTCCATGCAATGTCATTTGTCAAAAATTAAAAATTTATGGAGAACAGGAATATTTTTGAATCAACTAAATAACTTACTTTTACTAGAGAAAAAACATTAAAAAAAATAAGTCTGCACATGGAGTTTTACATATTCAAGATAATTAGTTCTCAATATTACCTTTGTCAAATATTCCTTCATGACCTGGATGAAATAGGGCATGGCAAAATCCATGATATTGTGCCTCCAGGCAGTTTCCAGGACAACATCTGGCCTTAAAAGATCATAACAGGTAAAGAGACAAGCTCCAAAGCACTCTCTTTTTTCTTCCTGCAAAAACCACTGTAGGAGTTCTTCAGCCAACTCAGTATCTTTAGATTCAGAGGCATACTGCATTGCATCCTATTCAAACGAAAGGATGAAAGTCAAACATTAAACTCAAATATACTGAAACCGGTAAATCAAGCAATACAAGGGGGAGGGGGTGGAGGGTGGAGTCCCAGTTATATAATTTAAAGATTTGTTGAAAGAAAAGGAATAGATGGATAAAGCATTCTTTTTTTTTTTTTAAAAAGAGAGAGCTTTGAAATAAAAATAAGATAGCCCTAGAATAAAGAAATTCACTTAACTATGATCTCCTCAAATGGGGGCTTAAAGGTAATTCTCATATTCATAAGCTAATACTTTTAAAGACCATAATCACTTGTAGTATACCACGTTAGGGTTAACACAGATCATCCAGAAGTTGGTTTAATGGCCCCGCCCCCACCAACTTCATCCACCTTGTACAGGCTATCTTTCTTGCACAGCTCTACACTCTGTTTCCAGCGATTGTTGCCTTTGAAGAGATAAGCAGCAATTCTCCTGAACTCAATGAGTTCATGTTTTTCCAAACGCTGAGCAAGTGAGATATTGTCAAAGTTGTCGTAAGCGTCTATTGATGTCCGCAGAGCCTTAAAAAAAGAAAAGCCATCCAAATTCCAAATCAGTGTTCCATTCTAGTTTTAAGTTTATGTTCCATCATTTTTTATCAATGAGCCATTATGTACATAACTGACTGTATATGACATGATCAATGGACATGTACGTATGATGATGACCAGTGAACCATTATTAAAATATGACAGCCTAGACTCAAGCATCAAATCACAAAGCTGTAATCTAATAAATAATCATCAAGGTTATTGATCCAATATAATTATGTAACAAAGACCTCGAAGATACTGTACAATTTCTAAAGGTGCAATTTTCTCCAAGGTTTTCATATCAAGGACTAACATAAATGGTTATGAAATTCGGAAAGTTTATAATTTGAAGGGTAAGATTTTATGCTCTGAGGAAACTCCTGATACAACTCAACATGATAGTCAGTCATACAGAGGGGCTCTGAGCCTAAAAGAAAAAACAGCTCACTGAATCTTAACTCTTAATTAATTTTGTTCTTGTGAAGCCTTTCACAAGGGAAAGTTTATTAAACAAATACTAATATGGTACCGGGCAAGAAAAGCAGTGAATAAATACAGTTAATACCAAGTAAGTTTTAAGGATTAGTTAAGAGATCAAAGACTTTTCAACCCTATCTATAATCTAGATGCTTAGGGATAAAGTAACCATAATTTTTTTCTAAAGAGAGATAAGGATTTAAGCAAAATTCTGCAAACTTGGCATTTCATCAGGGGGAAGTCAGATTTATTAATCCTGAACACCTCTTTAAATTTAAATCATAGGCATATAAATACCTACTATTTAAAAGTCTAAGGATAATGGCCTCTTTTTGTTTTTTAACTGCAAAACATACCAATTTACAACCTAATTATAACCTGAGTTTTGAGAATATATGCAAGAATCAAAAGGTTTTACCTGATAATCTTCTTCTGTAATAAAGAGGTTGTTCAGTGATTCATTCACAGATTTGTTGTTGTGGTTCTGAACTGAACGCAAATATGGTTTCACCAGGGGTAGCTGTTTAACCTTTAAAATAAAGAATTTGTTACAAATGTAGCACATGGTTAAAGTTCCATGGACAAAAATTATTCAAGTATGTCTTAGATCCTTGTTATAATATTTTGAAGTTTTAAAAAATAATTACCTTGCTGAAATAATTGACTGCACGAGTATGATCCAACCGTGGAGACAGCACCATCAGCAAATCATTTAACAACAGAGGCTTGAATTCTAAGTAGAACTGTATTGCTCTGTAGTATAATTCCACATTGGCAACCTAAAATGGGAAAAATCCATACATAAGTCAGAATTACTTCCTAATGAGCTTACTCATTTTGAAGCCTTTGTTTTGTTTTCTGAAGAAGGTACATACCTTCGTAATGATATCTTTGAACTGCCCTTCTTTCCATGCATCAGTGGGATGATTCATCATGGTAATTATGGCATTATCATATTCTTCATACTTGTCATACAAAAACACCAATTCTGCCCAAAGATGAGCTTGTTCTGCAGCTCTTAGCACCTATGTAAGAAAGATTTAATTGCTTTAAATATGAATCTTTAATTCTAGATAGTAGCCCAAAAAGGGATGTTTTAAAATATTAGTTTTAGCTACAGAGTTGCTCCCAATGTTAAAGGCTGGTTACCTTAGGTATATTCACTCTGGACCAGAACAGCTCCAAGTGCTCCCTCATTTTTTGTGGCTTAAATTTAGAATAAAGAATGGCTAATTCGGTGAACATCCCCATATGAGCTCGCTCAAGTCCCAGAGCTGCTTCCAACATTGTTATCAGTTCTTCAAAATATCCACGATCCTGAATAAGGAAGATAGTAAATTAAAGAAAAGAATATCTTTGGCAAAAGATCTCAATTAATATGACAGACTGCTGTTCATTACCTGATAGTAGTTGATAAGTTCCTCTAATTCATCTGCATGTACTACAATATGCAGCCCACACATCTGAGCAAGACGGAATTCTTTCCCATCTACACAGGCAAAGCAGACCTACAATAAAGATTTCAAATATGTGAACTCAAATGTAAACATGGCTGGTTAATTCAATTCACAGTTTAAAGAGCATTTCTAAATAGCATCTTAATTCTTTACTCAAACAGGTGTTGAGATTACCTCTTTCCATGTTCGGGTACTGTTTGCTTTCCTAGCTCCATCAACAGCTGCCTGATATTCACCCAGGTGAACCAGGGTAGATGCCAAGCGTCCAAAATTGGAAACGTTGTTGTACAACAACTTAGCAGCATCATACATTTTTTCATCATAACAACGGTCACCAACCTGAAAAAAAAAAAAGACAATCCATTTTCAGTGAGCCTAAACTCAATCCTTTCTCCAAAGCTGCAACTCAATGTAATAGTGAGAAACAATATTTTTCCTGTAAGATATTTTTTCCTTGGAAATCTTCAGCTATAATGTGTTGATCCTACTAAGCTAATGACGTTGCTCAACTACTTATCTTAACATTCTTCAAAAAAAAAAAAGAATAAGAAACCTACTTGTTGGATATGAGCATTATTTGGCCCATTGATGAACTCTTCTAACTCTGCAAGGCGGTTTGTTTTAGCCAGTGCGAATATCAATTCTGTCTCCACATAGGACTCACGAGCCTTCTTGCGGGCCATCTGCAAGTACTTTACCAGTTCTTCCCAGTTTCCTAGGTATAGGAAAAGAAAAAAGTAATACTAGCACTGACATCCTTTTTTTTTCTTAAAGCACTTACATCTTAACGTTTATTTTTTCACCCAAGTAAATGAGAACTACTTTTAATTTCCCTTTAAGGAGAACATTATAGACAATAATAAATATAAACAGTGAAATACATCTAGAATAGCAAAACTTCTATTATGCTTCTGTATTATCACTAATGAAATGAATAATGGATATCCCCTTTCCCTTAGAGAGCTGTAAAATTAGATAGAGCTCAATCAGAATTTTATGAAAATTCAAAACAGAAAATTAATCTTCCCCATGGACCTTGCAAGTTCACAAAATGCAGCTTCTCTTTATCTGGACTAAAATGGAGGGCTACATGTTTTCAAAAGTAACCCTAAGTATCTAATTCCTACTTAATTCAGAGTACACAATTTATCTTAATGCTTAGCTTAATCAGAGCTTAGGTACATTTTCTGAGATCACAAATATGTAATAGTTAAGAAGTCGCACCACTAGTATTGGCAGCCTGAACAACTTCCATGTAGGACGAAGGGTCATCTGCTTTGATATAAGAGTCAATGGCTTCTTTCACCATTCCTTTCTGCAACTGGGCTTTTGCAAGCTGACTCCAGACCGCAGGCTCATTGCAGCGTTCAGCAAATTCATATGCCCGATCCAAGTTTCCAATATGTTCAATTAAAACCTAAGCAACCAATTTTTGAATTAGTGTTACAGTAAAATGAATCTTACCACACAGCAATTACATTGAAACCGCTAGGATTTTATTGCTCTCCTTTGCCATAGCAATTGGTTATGCTCATCCTCAAAGGATAATACATATATTGAATCATGAGAAGTCATTATATTTAGTATATAAACTTAGGTAACCTGAAATTTTATTTACCTGCACTGCTGAAGTATTGACATCAAATTTCCGGAAAATGGCAAATGCTTCTTCAAAGAGCTCATTGCTGATGGCAATATTGGCAATATCTGGGGCATCATAATTATCCAGGCGGTTAATATACTCCATAACACGGGTACGATCAGCCTTGATTGCAGTGAGGATTAGGAGGTTTTGCAGATTCCTTTAAGATAAAAAGATTTAAACACAATATTTTAATAGCTCATTAGTTGTAAAGAATAAGCACTGTGGCTATACTACTCCAGTCTTTTGTCTCAGGGGGTAGGGTGAGAAGAGGAGGGTTTTAAAGAGTGAGAATTTAGACAATATACTCAAATCTTTGTCTCCTTGTTCCTTCCCAAAACTGACAGGCCATAACAAAAGACTGAATATAAATAGCCAATGGAACCCTCTCAGAGCATACCTGTGTTCACTGAATACAGAGTTATCAAGAACAATTTTCTCCAGCAGTTCAATAAGTTCATTCGGAAGGTCTGCCGTCATAAAAGCCTTGACAGTTACTGACACTTCTTCAGGGTCCTGAGTCTCAGACAAGGCTGTCTGCACAACCTAGAAAGGATATATAGAAAATAAGTTCCGAGAATCAAAGTGATTTTTGAAGGTATTATCTAATAAAACTAAGTTGGCTTTTCAGTAGAAAACTTGAAATAGGCAGAAAAAAAAGTGGAGGAAAAATACCTTTAAATTTACTACCTAAAGGTCTTCGTACACAAATTCATGTATAACTATATCTTATGTACTTCCATACTCCTGAAAAATTACCCTAATTATATAATTTCAATCTTTTCCCTCATTAAAACATTACTCATAATAACCACTCCACATTATCACTTTAATGGCTACATATAATTCAACTACATAGATATAGCATTATATACTCAATAATTCCTCTGTTTTCGGCTATTTGCACGATTCCCAGATGCTGCAGTATTTTTTTTCTGGGAAGATTTGTATCTACTTAAAAATTTTCCTTAGAAATGCTTCCCAAAGCATTTAAAATAATTAAATGTTTAAAATGTTTCTTTTCACTGCCTTCTCTCATAGTTAAATATGGTCCATTTGTATGATGAGGGAAAAGAAAAGGTTTTACTGATAGTTAAAAGATGAGCCTTAATCCCATTTGCCAACTTTACCTGGTCAATTAGAGGTCTCCTGTAAGGATTGCTTTCCAGCAGCACACTGCCCCACAATTCTGGATCCTTTCGGCGTACCAGATAGCGGGAAAGACTTTTGAAGAGAGAGTTCTCATTGCAAACCTAAATAAGATATTAAAGATTAATTTCAAGGTACGAAGTAAAGACTTTTTATAACTGACTTCACTTTTAAAAGTTATTTCCTATCATTTATACTCTGATTATTGTTTTCTAGGAGAAAAAAATCCACGATTTTTACATATAATCTTGAAGAGGTTACAAGCAAGTATTCTACTCTACTGGTCTGTCATGTATGCATTAGTACTGCATATTTTAATTATAGAGGCTTTGTAATGTGCTTTAATATCTGGTAGGCCTAGTTCACCTTTACAGCTTTCTTTTCAGTGTTTTACTAGCTATTCTTTTTTTTAAAATACATGTAGGCAGCCAAAGGAAGGCCAAGGAAATGATGTATCACCTCCCCTGAAAACCTGAGGCATGCCAGATTCTATTCCAAGTTGCTACTTTCCTATTACTAGCTATTCTTATTTATTTTTCCATGTGTACATGCATACATATATGTTCGTGTGTATACAAATGGATGTATGTACATAGATGCATATATTTCCTAGCTATGATCACTGAATGATCATAGAAGCAAATATAAATACACCTAACAGCCCAGATCTGAGTTTGTTAATCCTCACCCAAGGACATACATAGAGAGAGGGAGGGAGAGAGAGACTGGGTGGGTGGGGGGTTTGAAAGAGGGATAGAGAAACTTAAATTGGTTGCCTTCTGTATGTGCCCCAACCAGGGATCAAACCACAACCCAGGTATGTGCCCTGACCAAGAATCCAAGCGGCAACCTTTTGGTGCATAGGACAATACTCCAACCACTGAGCCACACCAGCCAGGGCCAGATCTGAGTTCTTAATAGCATTCCCCACTAAAAAGGATGAGAGTTCTCTGGGAAAATAACAGATTCCATGGCTGGGAGGGTATAAAATGAGTGTGAAGTAACTTGTTGTGCTAAAAAATAAGGACGTGCTTGAAGAATGATGAGACCATAAGACAAAGCCCCAGAAGGCAGGCTGCAGAGATTTTTATGAGCCAAAACTGGGACATTTTGAGCATCAAAACAATAGTGGTGGATTATAACCTATTGAATCAAACAGAGATTCATGAGTACATGAAAATATGAGTGCCGACTAAATGTGGAGAATGTGCTAGACTTGGAAACTTGTCCTTTTGCAACCAACAAATTAAGAATGGTTTAAGAAGAATCAATAAATTCTAAATTGGCATAGAAGAAGGGGCACACATCATTTGCATGGTTTTAAGTGTTTCCTTGCTGACTTCTTAAGATCTGCAAGGGGAAATATAATAATTATACAGTAAAGAAATTGACAACAATAAAAAGTACCTCTACCAACGAAGGACAAAAGAATGCCAAGTGCTTCTGCATATAATAGCATGAGAAAGACAAAGATCACTTAAGCAATATTCTGGATGCAAAATATACAATCTAAAGCTAATCACAGGGAGCCATCAGAGAAACTCAAAATGAGTAACATTCTCTTACACTGTGAATGTACAAATTGCCACTGAATTTTTCACTTTCAAATGATTATTATGTAAATTTCACTGCAGTAAAAAAGTTACAAGTAGAAAAAAAGACTACTTTTACAAAGAAAGGCTGAAGAATTGTCTCATATTAAGAGAGACTAAAGAGATACGACAACTATATGCAGTATGTAATCCTAGACTGGAAGGAAAAACTGCTGTAAGAAACATTATTTGGTCAATTGACAAAACTGGCATAAATTAAGAAATATTCTGTCAATCAAGTTGACTGAAGTTGGTTTCTATAATGTGTTTATGAAAGAGAACATTCTTATTCTTAGGAAATACACTGCAGAGGTACAAGGCCATGATGCATGCAACTTTATCATATGTTTAAAAGATGTATGCATGTGCATAAACCATGGACACAAACAATGGTGCGGTGAATGCCTGGTGTGGTATGAAAACCAGATGGAGAGGGAGTAATGGGGGGGTGGGGGGGAATGGGGGATATCTGTAACACTTTCAATAATAGAGAGAGATTTAAAAATTTTTTTAACCAAGGGGTAGGGGGGAGATGTATGCATCTGTGTATGTGTATGAGAATGTATATGAACACAAGTGATAAAACTAGTGCAGTTAAAATGTTAATAAGTGAAAACACATTTGATCTACCATCTTGGCCACTTTAAATTCACAATTATTGGCAAACAAAAATTTTTAAAATCACATGTCTTCCAAAAATGCTCTGTCTTAACTAAAACTACTCTGAAACGCTCAAAATTCACTAACCTAACATTATATAATACATTAGAGGTCCGGTGCACAACATTCGTGCACTGGGAGGTAGGGGGGTCCCTCAGCCCGGCCTGCACCTTATCGCAGTCTGGGAACCCTCAGGGGATGTCCACCTGCTGGCTATGGCCTGATCTCTGGCACTCAGACATCTTTCTCACAGTCCAGGGCTCTTGTAGTCCAGGACCCCTTGCTCCTTACTGCCTGCCTCCAGGCGGGAGAGGCTCCAGCCACCGCCACTGCACCCGCCACTGCACCCGAGCTGTGAGCCCGGCTTCTAGCTGAGCGGCGCTCCCGCTTTGGGAGCACACTGACCACCAGGAGGAAGCTTCTGTGTTGAGTGTTTGCCCTCTGATGGTCAGTGCGTGTCACAGCGACCAGTGGTTCCGCCATTCAGTCAATTTGCATATTAGGGTTTTATTATATAGGATTTTTTAATGCAGCCTTCTTAATAAAACTACCTTGTTAAAGAAAATAAATAAATACATAAAATGCAGCCTTCCTTCTACACATTCAGCTAGCAGTACTCACATTAATAAGTTCCAGATCACACTGGCCACGCTCATAAGCAACACAGGCCAGATGTGGATCTCTCTTCTCACAATATTTTCCAACAACACGACTGTCATAATAAGGATTTTCACGAAGAAATCTCTCTGGGTTGTTATTACTGTCTATGTAGATTTTGGCTAACGCATTGTGAGTAGCAGGCTCCTCACAGCCCTCATGAATCCTGGCCTCTAGCCATGGCAGAAGCAGTTTCAACCTAATAAAAACAAACAAACCAAAAAATAACACATGTACATATATTGTATTATAAATAACAAACTCTTAACATGCTAACTACTTAAATAATGTGCTTTCCCATAAATTATTTTGTATTCTCAATAACCCTATTATAAATTGGGAAATAAGACTCAGAATGTGGTTAAATGACTTGCCCAAGATTACACAGAAAGTATATAAAACTATCTTTATACTTTCCCAGACCTACCTGTTATATATATAGATAGCATATAGAAAGAAGAGATTATAGATTCGTAAACTGTTCTTTTTTATACTGGACAAAATATCTAGACTTTGGATAAATTTTGTTCAGGAGTGGGCTGAGACGTGGTATGAGAAAATAGGCCAGATTATCTGAGGTTTCTTTCAATTTTAACACAATTAACATACATTACCTACAGCCAGAGAAGGCGGCATCCTAAATACACACTGGGAACAAAATGTAGTATCTTTAGGAGCTCTGGGCTTAAGAATTCTAGCAGTTGTACGATCACTCCACCAGAGGTCATGGTTTCACTAAGCTATAGTTTATGTTTCAATGGTTTAAATATCAAAAGCACCCAGAGAAAGAGCAGTAGGCCATTATTTTAGCTATCAAATTCATGTAAATACTTACGTTACTATGTTCTCCTTTGAATATTAAGATTCAAATAAAGCCCTAACCGGTTTGGCTCAGTGGATAGAGTGTCAGCCTGCAGACTCAAGGGTCCCAGGTTCGATTGCGGTCAAGGGCATGTACCTGGGTTGCAGGCACATACCCAGTAAGGAGTGTGCAGGAGGCAGCTGATTGATAAGTTTCTCTCTCATCGATGCTTCTAACTCTCTATCCCTCTCCCTTCCTCTCTGTAAAAAAATCAATAGAATATATTAAAAAAAAATAGATTCAAATAAAAAAAACACACAATTTAACCCAGAGTTAATAGGGAACTCTCTTCTCATTATTCTTGAGAATAATTTATTTAAGAACTAGTTAGCAAATACAGGGTGTCACACCTAACTAAAAAGAGGCTTTTCACATTGTATAGTTGACATTAAAAGCATATACAAAGTCAACCCATGTAGCTCTAATTATAAATACGCAAAACAACTGATTAGCCAGGTTAACATTTTTTGTATGATAGCTGTAACGTTTCAGAAAACAACTTTTCTTTAAATCAACGCTACAGTTAGCCGATCACTTCTAAATAGGGTGTTTCCAGGGAATCATGGTCCATTTATTTCTGAGTAGCTTTTCAACAACTGACAGGTTACATTTTTATCCGTTACCATGCTGAGAGAGACTTATTTATCCCAGTTATGGAGGTTAAATGGTACTACACCTGTTTCTTTTTTCAACCTCAGCAACAAGCTCATCAGTAGAAAATTGACCTCTTACAACAAGAATCAAGTTTTTAATGACATCTTCAGAGCAATCAACGTCAAGTAACCCTCCAATAACCACAGGAAGTCGACTTGGATTCACCTAAGGGTTAAAAAAATTTGAAGAATGTCTATTTAATACGATAAACAAAAATGAGCTTTAAAAAATAAACATTTCCCCCTCTTTTATGCTCAGTTATAAACAGAGTCTAACTTTGCAACTAGACCAAGGAATTTAGCAGGAAGTCTGGCTTGTTAATTAATTATCTCAGCATTACTTCAAAGGATAAATAAGTCCAAAAATGCTAAAAGTCACAGAATTTTTCACACATTAAGTCCACTATAGCAAAACTGTCTGTCTGTTTTTAGAACTAAAAGGTACAGTTTTTTATATCTATATTTAAGATGGTTTTAAAACTGTGCTTTGGAGTCTATGGCCTCCACACAGATACTTCAGGTGCTACCAAGTACATAGGGCATTGGCCATCCAACTTTTTCAACTACAGCACTTCTGATGTTTTATATACTTGGCATGCATGTAAAATTTTAATCAAAGAAGGGTTTGGGCAGGAAAACATTGTAAGAGCCACTGTAACAGACCACAGTTTCAAAAGGGTGAACATTTCCTGAGTGAAATATAAAATCTACAATAAGATTTAATTTTTAAGTAATCTAAGTATTACTTACCTTTTGTACATATATCTCTATATACTTTTGAAGATTATTTCTATATAAGTACAGCACCAAATCATGGACAAAGTCAAATCGATCACACACAATGATGAGTGGTAATTGATCTGTTAGCTTCGCTTCCTGGGGGAAAAAAGAACAAAAAGAAACCTTAATTTTCTCCTGTGAGATATCAAATCTATGTAAAATATGACAACCTCTGTTTCATCCTGGTGGGAGAGGATCATATAAACTTGGCTGTTCTCTTAAAAGAAATCCCCAATTGCTGGAGAGAGCACAACATTTTCAGTAATTTTTTATTAATCAATACTTAGATCCATAACAAAATACCAGGTCCTTCCCACACACACCCTTGACCAAAAAAAGTAACAAATTAAGATTAGTGAGCCACTACTGGCATTCGGGATATAAAATCATCACAGCAGGACTTTCATTAATAATTAATAAAATAGAATTGAGTTATTTAAGACCAATAGTCACATTGTCAAAATGATGACGTAAGTGGATTGTACTTGTTTCAAACTAATGACTTATTCTCACTCCTCCCTAATTCTATTCTATATGGCCAGCCTCCAACATTGTTACAATAAAGCCTACAAGGAGCAGCATGATGGTGACAGCCATGAATGAAACACACCACATGTTGCTATAATAAGAAAAAAGTTAAGAAAAAGAAAGCACGTAAAGAAAGACATCTTTAAATTGCCTACTGCTTTTACCATTACAAATACCAAGCTATAATCCTACTTTATAGATTGACATAGATGTTACAGACAGGAGGTAAGACCTATATTAGGCATTTACCTGAAACATGTCCTGTTACATTCCACAGACATAAGGTAAAGCACAAAAAACAACAGTTTCCATCAGGAATTCATTTACACACAGTGAAACATTGCTCAATATATGATCTGTCTATAAAAATCTGCTAAGGAAGTAGAACTAAGCAGGATAGGACTTTCCCCAGTGACAGCCACTAAGAACAACATCATTTGCAAGGTTAGAACAAAATAGTACCTAAGTTTAGAACATATCAGTCACCCAATTATAAATAATTTGAAGATTAGTCTATGAAGTGTTCAAAGAACACAAAACTAAATCTGGGAGTCATGAGAAATCCTGAATAAAAGATCAAAAAGGCATGCATGGGTCTGGATTTATGATAGGCCTGTACTCCTGGGTCTCTTCAGTGCCCCATGCCAGAGCAAACTGTGGCCTTGAATCATTGCCTGGCCTCTGCCCGTAGGCTGCAGGCACTGAAGCAGGTTACACAGTGGAGGGCAGGGGCGCAGAGAGAGGAAAGGCTGTAAATCTGAAGTGGAAGTCAGCTGCAGATTTTTCACACATTAAGGAAAGTCTAAAGCAGGGGTGGGGAACATCCAGCTTTTGGGCCATATAAGGCCTGAGAAATCATTTGATCTGGCCCTGCCAAGGCATTAGGGGTGCATTAATTAAATGTTCGACCAAATATAGCAGGCTAATTTTAAGTTGATAATTTTGTATGGCCCTTGAATGACATTATAAATATTCAAATGGCCCTTGGCAGAAAAAAGGTTCCCCACCCCTGGTCTAAAGCAAGTAGTTAGCAGCATGGAAACTGTACTAAACAGCTGCTATAATCATCTCTAGCAAGAGTGTTTGATCTACCTATGTAAACATTTCAATAAGCCAAGTTTTTCCTATTAAATAAACATCATAAAGTTAGTGGGTCATGCTAACCTTCTTTATCCTGTTTAATATAAAAATAAAATACTATGTACTTTTATTTTATCATTTAGGGAGAAAACATACTTGCAAGTAATCTAAGATTACTTAGGTATTCTATTCTCATGTGTGTTTAAGATTTCTGCTGGCAAAGACAAACATACTGCATCTACGTCCCCCCGGCCCTCTCCAAAATTTAAGATTGAAAGAGTAGACAAAAATCTACAACGAATAGTTTCTTGATTGCCTAAATTTGCACATGTAAGTAATGCTATTAATATTTTAAATTATTTAAAAGTTTACCCTGAAGCTATTATGGTCAAAGATTTTAAGATAAAAATTAAAATTATACAAACATTCAGGGGTTGTCATAAACATGAAGTTATTCATTTAACTAATATTTACTGAGTACCCAGGTACCAGACACTGTACTTATGCACTGGAGATATAGCAGGAAACAAAGTAAGCATTCCCTCAAAGGATTTACACTGTAGTGGGAAGAGACAATACTGTTAAGTGTTATTTTAAAAAAGTAGAATATGGGGGTGGTAAGGATAGGCTAGGGCAGGGGTGGGCAAACTTTTTGACTCGAGGGCCACAATGGGTTCTTAAACTGGACGGAGGGCCAGAACAAAAGCATGGATAGAGTGTTTGTGTGAACTAATATAAATTCAAAGTAAACATCATTACATGGTCTTTTTTTTCAATAGTTTTATTCATTTCAAACGGGCCGGATCTGGCCCGCGGGCTGTAGTTTGCCCACAGCTGGGCTAGGGTCATCTGAGACATCCTTTCTCATGACATCTGATGAGAAATCTTAAAGAACGTTAGGACTTAGGTCATGAAGGTCAGAGAAAAGCAGAAAGGGGTACAAGCAAAGACCCTGGGGCAGGAGAGGGGTTCCAGAAATAGCAAGCAGGTCAGTGTTGGTCAAGTAAAACCAGGAAAGGAAAATTGACAGAAGATTAAAGGTAGCAAGAAGCAGATCATGGATCTGGAGAACAGTTTCATGCTTTCTATGGAAATCTATAATTCCACAAAAACTTGGGTCATAAGCCAAATGATGCTAATGTCATCATTTCTTCCTGCTAACAGGTTACTGTACATGGGAACCATATTCTATCAATCTCTGCATTTCTGGTGGCTAGCATATAATTGGCATTGGAATGTTCAAGATCAGATTCAGAGAAGTATTTTTCTTATTACCACAGAGTTTACATACAACATCAATCAATTATCATATAGCTCGTACCTCCAAAGCTTTATAACAGTGATGGTGAGATGTAGCATTGCAGCTACCATACTACTGGTCAATAAGGAAAGGGAATAAAATGCTTTAGTATGTTCATTCTCATTACTGGGATGAAAGGCTACATACAACAGTAGCATCTTAGTATTGAGTTCCTATCTCAGATTATTTAAAGATAAGACACCAGGTTTACCTCTAACTCAGCCTGGAATTAGAATTCCTTCAAGGAGTCAGGAATAACTCAAAACCAAAAAGAAACAAAACTTGAATTATTGTATTTCACATGTAGGCTAGCACCACCTTATTTCCAAGGCCCACCAACACAGCTTATTTACAGCTGTTAAAACCTGAACACCTATGGCCTACGAAGGTAGTTGAGAAAAACAACTTGTGGCTGAAGAAACCAAGGCTGAGTTAATTTGCTTGAGGTAACAGGTAGACATATACTGAATGAACAAATAATAGTTAGTAATAGAAAGAAATGGAATTTGAATCAGGTCTGACTGGTTCAAAGGCCTGTAATATCCACATCCATGCCCCTACTCTATCAGGCTTGCACCCAATTCACAAATGTGGAATGGGAATCCTCGTCTAATTAGATCTCATGGGCTAAGCAACTTAAGGCTGCACCATCCTAGTATTCAGATAAGTTTTCTGAAGTTTAAGAACAAAATAATTTAGTCCTGCTTTACATATATATATATTTCATAAGTCAAATATTAATACCCAATGCTAAAGAAATTACTACTAAAGCATAAAAGCTGTGAGCTTAATGAAAACAAAAAGAAATCAGTTTACGAACCTGGTAGTATTTTTAAAAAAGGAAACAGTACCGACAATCAAATGAGGAACTGAACCAGTGTTAGGGGTACACTAGCCAAGCATAAAGCATCAATCTTTCTTATTTGGAGTTTTTTTGACAACAGAAAGTCTTGAGTTCAAACACATCATACTAGCCAGGCCATTCAGACTATTTATAATGATCAAGACATTAAATTATAAAGCTATATTTTTGGGGGATAGTTTATTTTTTCATCTATAATATAGGGTTACTTCAGCACTTTGACTATCTCAGTACACTGAAACCCCTAAGGTTTGGGGGTATTTAATCTAGAGCCCAATCAGCTAATACAACTGTAGATTAAAAATGATGACAGTGTAGGCGTAGGAAAAGCCTATTTTTTTCTACTAAATTATTCATTAAACATTTTGGTTTTAGTTTCAATCTAAAATTCTTCCAAAAGACAAAAAAAAAAAAAAAAATGTTTAAGAACTTCATATTATGTTTCTGGAGTGATTTCATATATATAACTAAATGTTAAGGGGGATGAACTGAATGTTCTATAGTTTTCCTGAACTTTAGAGGCAACTAACAATATTAAAGTTTTATTTTCCTGTCAAAGTAACTAGTAGGAATGAGAATAAAGGTAAAGATAAGTTAAACTTTAAACAAAATTAAGTGCCCTTAGGTATATTTTAAAGAGCTAAGAATCTTTAAACCATTACTCTTCACTTCAACATAGGCAGTTCTTACTTCTCTAGAACTAAATTCCGTGTCACAAATCTGAGGATTTTTTGTTTAATCTTACCCTCAATTTATGAATTATACATGATTAATATTTAATTTACAGAGTCAGGCTAATTTGATGACAGAAATAAACCTGCTATGCAAGCAGTAGAGGCTCCTTAAAATGACACTGAAGGCAAAATGATTTTAATATTCAAAAGACAGCCGAAACCGGTTTGGCTCAGTGGATAGAGCGTCGGCCTGCGGACTGAAAGGTCCCAGGTTCGACTCCGGTCAAGGGCATGTACCTGGGTTGCGGGCACTTCCCCAGTGGGGGATGTGCAGGAGGCAGCTGATCGATGTTTCTCTCTCATCGATGTTTCTAACTCTCTATCTCTCTCCCTTCCTCTCTGTAAAAAATCAATAAAATATATTTTTTTAAAAAAAGACGACTAAATGAAATTCTAAAATGACACTGAACATCTAAACCACTTTCAAAGTGAAAGAAATGACATTTCTTTAAGGTAGTGCATTTTTTTTCTTCTTTTAAATAGATGGGGTCATTCTAAATATTACTTACCAATTTCCTTCCCTATTTCAAAGGAAACCACGAAGTATTAAATTTGGAAGAAATAATTCAGCACACAATTTCAGAATGTTAAGAATTTTACATTTAGGGGAACTTTTTTTTTTAAACTAACCAAACCCTTGCAGAACTGCTGATCTTCAACCCAACCAGAAACTGCATTACTCAAAATCACTTACCTTGAGAAAATTCTTGACTCGCTCAGGATCATAGCAGTTGCTTTCTCGGCAGATTCTTTCTACTTCTTTGATCTGCCCAGTCTTGCAAGCTGCCTGAATATATTTAAAGTGCACATCTGGATCCTGACTGAAGTTAACAATGGATCCCAGAAAATAAAAGAGACCTTAAAAAACAGATAATTGAAATTAAGTACAGGTGCACTTTTGAGAATAACAGAACTGTATAATATTTAAGCAATTAAAAAACATGTTATTTCAATTACACCTCAATTTTACAAAAAATAAAAAAACACATACTCAATACTCCCAAATAAAATCTGGTTGCTCAAAAAACTCCATAAGAATACTAATTAATCTAGTAATTAGTTCAATAAATGGATTTGCACCTTAACCTTGAAAAAAAAACCCAGAAAATTCAGCCTGGCCAGTGTGGCTCAGTGGTTGAGCATCGACCTATGAACCAGGAGGTAATGGCTCGATTTCTGGTTAGGGTACATGCCCAGGTTGTGGGCTTGATCCCCCGTGTGGGGTGTGCAGGAGGCAGCCCATCAGTGATTCTCTCTCATCATTGATGTTTCTATCTCTCTCTCCCTTTCCTTTCCGAAATCAATAAAAATATATTAAAAAAAAAAAACCACAAAAAATTCAACCCAATGTTTTCTAATAATAGAGAAATAGGAGGCAGCTACTTAATACCAAACTAATTATCACATTATATTCCATATGATAAGTTTTAAATGAAGACCCTTATAGCAGATGTTTTTCCATATGTAGTTAATAGGAAACATACAAAAGTAGTCTGAAGAGAATTTAATGCAGTGCTGTCAATACAGTAGCCACTAACCACATGTGGCTATCAAGCACTTGAAATGTGGCTAGTGTGACTAAAGAACTAAATTTTTAATTATATTCAGTTTTAATTACTTCAAATTTACATAGCCGTATGTGGCTAGTGGTTATTGTACTGAATGAAATAATATCAATTTAGTGCATAGCTAACATACAGAAACAGAAAACTAGTAGAAATCTTATTCCTTCTGTCTAGAACAATACTATAAAAAGAGGAAGAAAAGGTAACTGGGACCAGAAGTTTGGCTAATGAACCCAAGAGCCACCCAACAGTGATTACATTAGTACTCAGTACAGCAGTGGTTTTCAACTGGGGGTGATTTTCTTCCCAGGAGACATTTGGCAATGTCTGGAGACATTTTTGTGTCACAACTGGTGGCGCTGAACCACACTGGCACCTAGTGAGTAGAAGCCAGAGATGTTGCTAAGAATCCTGCATACACCCCTCCCACCAACAAGTTATCCAGCCCAAAATGTCTGAAGTGCTGAAGTTACACAAATCTGCTGTATAATGACAAGTCACAAAATATCCTTGGTTAGAAACATTTGCCATTATAAGAGTCAGACAACATAGCATGGAAATTTATTACACCTGGTCACTAGTCACTAGTATTTTTATCTTACACAATTATGACAAAGCCACTATATATATTTGTACCTTATAATTCTGCTTTTATTTCACATATAAAATATCCAAGCAATCTTGTTCACTGCATATCCCTCAAATCTGACATAAAAGATGCTCGACATTTATTGCATGATAAAACTTAAAATTGTCCCATTAAATTAAGCTTGTAGAGACAGAATTTCTAATAGCCTGTGATCATAATAATATCCCTCTTGGGTATCTTAATTAAAACATAACTCAGAAATTCCTAATTACCTTCAAAACTTTTGAAAGATTCAAACAGTTCGATCAGAGACTGAGTTGACAGTTGTTCGTGATACTTAGAAGCCACTTGAACACATATCTGCAGATTTTGGCGAATATTGGCAGACAGCATGGCCCTGAGGCATTCTAGGGAGTCTTCTACTGATAAGGATCCAAAGTAGTTCACTAACCACTAGAGGACAAAATAAATAAATAAGCAAGTACATAAATGAAATAAAACTGAACCTAATAGTGATATGAAATTATTATCATTCAGAACCACAAACACAGTTTTAGTACATCATTTAATCATATCTAAGACCACCTGTTAGGTGAGAAAATGAAATACCTCAGGGTTAAGAAGATGGGTGTGAACAACTGCACGCTTAATATCATATAAATCAGTGAAGTGTTCTAATGCACGTTGCAGCAGACCAGCCTTTTCACACAGCTGAGCAATATGAGCCCGGTCATAATGTGTGAACATCTGATTCCCTAGAATAGCATCTGCAACCTATAAAAACCACAAACAGAAAAAGTTTATTTTACAAGCCCATTTATATCACTAATTCTATATCCAGATTACATATAAAGATCCAATAACTAATTGATAAAGAAGAGAAAATACAAAGGAATGTTAACTAAATTTTCTTAAAGAATAGTCATCTCAGTTGCTTCAAATAACAATCCAAGAAGTTCTGAGTAACTACTAAAACAGTGTTGAAAACACCTTAAAAGTATGAACGCATATACCTGAGGTGCGTGCATAAGGTTCATCTCAAGCAACCTAGTCTGTAAAGGACCTTCAGATGGGCGATTATTCTTCAGGGCATCAAGCAAGAATGCAGTACACTGCTGAATTAGATTGTATTCCATAAAGACATCCACAATCTGCAAAAATATTTAAAGAATATTGTTTGAGATGTTTAAAAATGGCTTTATGATACTGTTGATAATATGCAAATGAAAGGAAATTTAGTATTATCTCGTTTTACATATAAAAAATTGCCAGACCAAACAAACCCTAGACTTAAATAATGTTATTTGGACAGCATAACTTCATAATTTAAAAATAAATTTTTGGGCCCTAGCCAGGTCCCTGGTTCAATTCTGGTCAGGGGCACATGCCTGGGTTGTGTGCTCGATCCCCAGTGGGGTTGTGCAGGAGGTGGCCAATCAATGATTCTCATCATCGATGTTTCTCTCTCTCTCTCTCTTTTTCTCTCTCCGCCCCCCCCCGCCATCAATACAAATATATTTAAACAAATAAAAATAAATAAATTTTTGGCTCTGACCAGGTGGCTCATTTGGTTAGAGCATTATCCTGATACGCCAAGGTTGTGGGTTTGATCCCTGGTCGGGGCACATATATGAATCAGCCAATGAATGCATAGTAAGTCGAACAAATCGATGTCTCTGTTTCTGTCTCTCTTTCTCTCAAATCAATTTTTTAAAAAGGTAGCTCTGGCCTGTGTGTTCAGTGGTTAGAATGTCAGTCACAGGTTTGATTCCCGGTCAAGGGCATGTACCTGGGTTGTGGGTTTGCTCCCCAGCCTGTTAGGGCGAGTGTGGGAGGCAATCAGTATATGTGTCTCTGAGACATCAATGTTTCTCTCCCCACACCCCGCTCCTTCCACTTTCTCTGAAAAGCAATGGAAAAAATATCCTCAGGTGAGGGTTAAAAAAGATAAGAACTATTTTTGTCTTCTGGAGTTGCTTTTAGTTCTAGTAAAAACAACTATTATTCCCATACATTTTTCATATGTTTACATATACATCTCTAAACAAGAAGTCCATTTTGTATGTTTTTAAACTGTATATATAGCCCTGGCCAGGTGGCTCAGTTGGTTGGAACGTCATCCTGAGCACCAAAAGGGTTACAGGTTTGGTTCCCAATCAGGGTGCATATGGGAGGCAACCAATCAGTGTTTCCTTTCTCTCTTTCTCTCTCTTTCTCCCTCTCTCTCCCTCTCCGTCTCTCTCTCTCTCTCCCACCCTACCTCCCTCTCTCCCTCCCTCCCTCCCTCCCTCCCTTCCTCTCTCCCTCCTTCCTTCCCTCCCTCATCAATGAAAGCATATCCGCTGGTGAGGATTAAAAAGAAAAACAAAAAACTGTATGTAGATGGTACCATACTGTCCATTCTTCTGCAACTTGCTTTTTTTGTCTATGCAGATAAGACAAAGCTCTAATTTCTAGAAATTGAATTGTTAACCCATTCTTCTCCAAATTGTTTAAACTCAAATCCCCCCATTCTCTATTGAAATCAACTTCTACCAGTACATTTTCATTTCTTTACCTGTGTGATATCAGCAAGAGGTTCTTCATCCTGAACCAACATTTGAGCAAACTGCTGTCCCTGATCTGGACTGATACGCATGACATTTCTCAGCAGAAAGATCCAGTCTGGAGTATATCCAACCTACAAATAGATATAAATTTAAACCCCACCACAAAGTTTCCTTTTTATATAATTTAAAGGTTTTTTTTTTCCGCAACAGAATCTTACTAATATAGAACTACTGATGAAAGTACAAAAATTTAAGGTGCTCCGTTTGACCTTGGTTTATATTAGGCAAATAGATGCCTTAGTGATAACGTTTGATTAAATAGCTGTAAATTTTTATAATTGGCTTCATTTTTGATGAGTGACTATTTCAAAAAGTTTGTTCTAACAGTTTAAGCATGCCCCTGACATCTTAAATTCTAGTAAGCTGTATAAGAGAAACTCTCCATTTTTTTAATAAATGTAATTCTATATGTGGGACTAAAATAGGGCTTTTATACTTTTCCCATTAACTAAAAATTTAAGGAAATTCACTATTAAAGTCACTTAGAGTTTCTACAGGCTAATTTCTCTTTAATGTTTTAATGAATTTTTTGTTGAGAATTTGTTTCATTAAACTCACTTTTTTAGCATACAAAACAATCTTCTGAACTTGACCAGTTTCTGCAAAGCACTGAATGACTTTATTTGGGACATTAGCCCTTAGGTACACACTAAGTGCCAATGTAGGGTCCACAGATTTCACAAGGTCACCTAGTTCTTCAGAACATTCCAGCTGTCCAAAGGAAAAAGAGATTGGTTAGTAATCCGTAAGTTGTTTTATAAATGAGCAGTTGACACTACTTCCACTATAAATAATATGATAACATTTAGTTACTCAATTGTCCCAGAATATATTACAAGTATTCAGGGGTTGTGGTGGTTAGTAAAGACTCTTGATTATGTATTCACAGCAATGTCTCAGGAGAATTTTCACACATCCTACTTAAAGACAAAAAGCCCAGTAAGATTTCATACATATAGATATTACCAAATGCCTTGTCAGAAATGTAAATACTTAAAAAGGAGAACCTTGTACTATTAAGAATATTCACATATCTAACCCACATGGCCCCAATTTTTTCAAAATAATGTGACTTTAAATATAATGTTATCAAATGAAAAAAGTTGATACTAAGTTACCAGTTGAGGCTTACTATAAGGACCATTATTAAAATTAGGGTATAATTTGTATGTCTGAAGAATCTAAGCTCCATTATCTTCTTGACTTTTGGATTTATGGTTATAAAGCAGGACACTCTAATTTCACAAGGTCAAACAGATAAAAAATTTTGAATTTTAGGTGGTAGATAAGTAGATTCTCTTCTCTATACATTCAATCTGCCTTAGTCAGGTGTCCAGTCTGGAAAGCAGTTTCCCTAAAAGAGTTTTGCTTTACATATTAGAGTTGATTTTCTACTTTTAAAGGCTATGTGGCTATGTCAGAGAATAGCCTTTATCACTGATCTTCAGTACGGAGAAGTAAAGTTGTATTGAAGTATATATCTCTTAACTAAACATGCTAATTAATGAAGAGTTGACCAGTATCCCTTTTACTACAAATAGATCCCATATGACCATTCTCAAAAAAAGTAGTAATATCTAGAAAGCTTTCACAATGTTATATAGGTCAACTCAGTTGCCTTGGCTGTCACCATCCTCCCTTACCTTAAACAACTAAGACCTCAAATACTCGCTATTGTGGCTATAACTATTCTTCAGCAGAGGCTCCTATCCAAGCATCCTAACTCTGAAGTACTATTCTCCAGTATCCTATAAGACTGCCAGATGCTGGGTTAAGAAACAAGGACTTAGCCCTGACCGGTTTGGGTCAATGGATAGAGCGTTGGCCTGCAGACTGAAGGGTCCCAGGTTCGATCCCGGTCAAGGGCATGTACCTTGGTTGCGGGCACACCCCCAGTACGGGGTGTGCAGGAGGCAGCTGATTGATGGATGTTTCTCTTTCATTTATGTTTCTAACTCTCTATCCCTCTCCCTTCCTCTCCGTAAAATATCAATAAAATATATTAAAAATAAAAAAGAAACAAGGACTTAGAATTAGTCATGTAAAAATACTGCCAACATACACTAACACTGAAAGGTATAACAACAGTACGTTATTCACTACTCAGAGTGCTTTAAATAGTACCACCTCATTCTTGAAAATAGCATAAGAAATGGCAATTCAATATTGCCACTTTATCGAGAAAGGCTTTTGTATATTGGTATGAAAGGAATAAAAACACTGATGGGTTGTTCAAACTTGTTAATTGCCTTCAAGTAAGCAACATTTTCCATAATGTGCTCTAGAAAACAAAATACTATTAGATGTTCTATGTGAAAAGAAATCAGTTAAGTATGAATGAATATAAAAAGCACAGAGAAATCCTGCAGTAAAGAAAGCTGGTTAACATTTTTTAAAGGTTCATATTTAAATAAATTTCAAGAAACTGAGTTAAATATTTTCCCATGTAATGCTAATTTACATACTGTGAAATCTTTCTGGGAATTTTTATCACTGCTAATTAGCCCTGCTGTCTTATTAACATATCTATAGTCCAACATTTTATATAACATGTTTCCTTCTCACACCCAAACATAGTTACTAGTAGCAAATACCACCATTATGATGATACTTGGGAATTTCTCGAAGAAGAAATATTTGTATGATTGAAACTACTGTGCATATTAAAAATGTGGGATGTGAGAGATAAGAATATATTCTTATATCCAAATGAATGTTACATATGTTGACATGAACACATACTGAAGTGTCTCACACTAAGCTTTTCCTGAAGCAAAAGGATAGCAATTTGCTTCCAGGTTAGTGGTTCTAACCACCCAGCACAAATTCTGGATTCCATTTAAAATACTAAACAGATATACTACCTCCGCGTTATAAAAGTAAGTTTATGCATCCCACAACAATGTCTGCTCTTATTCTATTCCTACAAGCATTAACGATACAGATATTTTGGGGCAGCCTAGATGTTTATAACTTGCTAACGTGGTATTTAAGACAATTAAAGCAAAAGTATGTTAACTGGAGTTAATATACCTTATCTTCTTTTAACCATTTCTCCAAAAGCTGTTTCCGTCCTTGCTGAAGTACAGGCCTACACAGTTCTAGGGATTCATATTTGTTTAGCTGGCCTTGGTCCAAAAGTATGCCAAAATATTGAAGTAGAGGAGAAGTTTGGCCTGGCTGGGCTGGGACACTCTGGAATCGACGGATAGTGTCTGGGGTACGGAGGATTCCCTTTAAGAAAGAGAAATGGTGAAGACTCTTTTAAAGGAGATCCAACATCACACCAAGAACTCCATGGGTCTCTTAAGTCAATCATAAAGGCATGATTCCACCTACTAAAACCAAATTCCAAATCTTCAATATGTTAAGTAATAAAGATTCAGTCAACATCTGCTCACAACTCTGGCCAGGTGTAATAAGGTTATTCAGAATCAGAAACATACCAACCTAATTACAATGTCAATGTGTATCAGAAAGTAGTTACAGCTAGCTATTATTCCAGGTTCATATTAAGTGCAAATTTCCTAATAGTGATCAGGATATAAGGTGTTAATTCATTCAACATAATACAAAGGTGATGAGAGTAAACTCAGCTCAATTTCAGACAACTCTTTTTACCATAAATGTAATAGGATCTGTTCAATCCTTCAACTTTGGGAAATAAAATCAGTACTACCAGACCGTGTGCCCTGTGGACCCATCTCTTGTTTCAACAATGTTTGAACAGAACAGACCCATGGACACCCCTTCTTCCAGCCCCAACCACGCTCTAACCTCTTTTCCAGCTGCAACCTTTGGAACCATCTTCTCAGCCATCCTCTGCCTCCAGGACCAGCCAACACCTTTTTTTGAGCTTAGCTCCTTATTGTTGATAAACCATGAGCTCCAAGATTTGTCAAAATTGTTCCACAGAGATGGAAGCCACTGTCAATCGCCTGGTTAACCTTCATTTGCGAGCCTCCCACACCTACCTCTCTTCTGTGCTTCTATTTCAAATGTGAAGATGTGGCTCTGGAAGGCATGGGCCACTTTTTCCATGAGTTGGCTGAGAAGTGGAGGGCACCAAGTGTCTCTTGAAGATGCAAAGCCAGCAGAGTGCCCATGCCTTCTTCCAGGACACGTAAGAGATGTCACAGGATGAGTGTGGGAAAACCATAGTCCTGGAGAAGAACCTGAACCAGGCCCTACTGGATCTGCATGCCCTGGATTCGGCCCATACAGACACCCATGTCTTGGTGACTTCTTATAGAGCCACTTCCTAGATGAGGAGGTGAAATTCATCAAGATGGATGACCACCTGACTAACCTCTGCAAGCTGGCTGGCCCCTAAACTGAGCTAAGTTCACCTTCTAGCATGACTAGGAGCCTCTGCAGCCCACTGGCCTCTGAGAGACCACTGGCATCCCTGTGGTGTCAGGGCTTCTGCCTGAGCCTCTCCCTGCAGCTCTAGGCAGCTTTTTAACCACCCTGAAAGCCCTCTCCCAAGCTGTGGACCAAATGGAAACAAAGCTTTATACAGGGGGAAAAATTGGTAACTATCACTGACAAGGTCAAACAGTATTACAACTAAGTAACTGAACATCATTACATCTACATAAATCATAGATTGCTAGATCTACTTTATCTTTCTAACATTCTTAGTTTTAAAAAGCTAACCAAAACTAGAGAACAGAAAAATAATTAACCAAATCTAAAGGCACCAACAAGGAACTCAATCTACCACAGAAAGAATGCAACCTAGAGAAGACTAGTTTCTCAGTGGAGAGCTGGCTCCATTTCTAACAGTAGTAGAAATAAAGCATATGAACATTAATCCAATCATGGCAACTTCATTTTCATGGCTATTTACCTTGGGTGCATTAGCAGCCACCTTTGCTGCCTCTGAGTAATTTCCCTGGGCAAAAAGAGCATTAAACTTCCGGGCAAAGAGTTCTTCAGCACCAGCTAAGTTGTTACGTACAGCCATTCTCAGAGCCAAATCAGGATTTTGTAGGACATTGGTGATATACGGAATTATGTTTTCTTCTTCCACACATACTGATAGAACCTGCAATTTAAAGATTAATGAATAGTTGCAATGTGTTCATTTGGATATCAGTGATACTAAATCTGCTTAGAGCTGATTACTACTGAGTCACAAAGGTATTAAAATTGTGACAGCTGCCTTTTTGTGTGTCATAAAAATATAAAAAAGAAAAAAAGAGGCCATAAATGAGAAAACCGGGGTGCCTAAAATATGGCCACTCTGTAATATAAAAAGCTCCCTATTTCATACTGTCTGACCTCTAATTACTTTGCTACCATCCATTTAAATGAGCTCTGTAAAACAATTCACTATGATTTATAGATTCTTGAGGAACACAATCTTGAAAACCTACAGAACGTGACTAAAGAAGCTATAAAATCTAAAGCTTGCCTGGAAGAAGTTTAAGGTATATTCCTTTTAACTGTAGGATTTTTTAATAAGGATGTTTCAGTAATTTTCTTTAACTACATTTACATTCCCACAGGCCAGATTATATATTCAGTGAGGGGAAAGAATCCCTAAATCCTACTGTATAATACAAGGTATACAACAGGTGCTTAATAAAGGTAATAAAGTCATCTTGATGGCTTTTGATTTTCAACCAATAGAAATCACACACTCATTCCTTTAGGGCAGTGATTTTCAACTGGTGTGCCACAAGAATTTTTTAAACATGCAATGCCTGACTATTTAGTAAGGGGCACCAACTTCGTTACCCTTAGATTTAAATTTTCAATAAAAAAAAGACAACAGCCAACACAACACTAGCCATCTGGTGTGGATGAATCAAAATTATACTTTGTTGTTGTTGTTAGATTGGGACAGAAAATTGTAGGGGAAGGGGAGGGAAACAATTAAGTTCCCAGAATCAAAGTTATAAGTATCAAATATATTAGTAAAATTATTCAAGATACTTTAGTTTAAGCATTATCTTAAAAACATCAACACAGAAAAAAATATATTTTAAGGAGAAACCAAGATGGCGGCATAGGTAAACACCGGAGACTGCTGCCTCGCACAACCACTTCAAGAATACAACTAAAAGACAGAACGGGCATCATCCAGAACCACAGGAAGGCTGGCTGAGTGGAAATACTACAACTAGAAGGAAAGAGAAAAGCATACCGGGACTCAGAGGAGCTGCGGTGCGGAAGTTAAGTGCACAGGTACGGAGGCAGACGCGGAAAGGGCTGGTGGCTGAGGACACAGTTGGCTTTTTCAATCTGAAGGGAGTCTCAAACTCCCTACTGCTCTGAACTCCAGTTCCAGGCGAGTCTCTGGGGACCGTGACTGACAC